AAACCAGAGACAGCTGATTCCAGCTAGTGGGGGCTCATGGACCATGGACTGACAGCTGGGGAACCTGCACAGGACTGAACTAGGTCATCCGAATGTGAGTGACAGTTATGTGTCTTGACCTGTTGGGGCGATGGGGCTGGCAGTGACACCAGGACCTGTCCCAGGTACATGAACTGGCATTTTGAAACCCATTCCCTATGATGGGATACCTTGCTCAGCCTTGATACAGAGGGAAGGGGCTTGGTCCTGTCTGAACTTGGTATGCCAGACTTTGTTGACTCCCCAAGGAAGGCCTTACCCCCTCTGAGGAGTGGATGGGGGGCTGGGAAAGGGAAGAGATGGGGGCAGAAGTGGAAGGAGGGGGAACAGGGGTGGATATGCATAATGAAAAATAAAAATTTAAATAATAAATAAATTGTTTTTTTAAAAAATAACACTGACTTGGCAATGGTGTTGCACACCTTTAATCCCAGCACTTGGGAGGCAGAGGCAGAAATATTTCTATGAGTTTGAGGCCAGTCTGATCTACAGAGTGAGTTCCAGGACAGCCAAGGCTCCACAGAAAAAACACCATCTTGAAAAAATATCACTGGTTGGGGAAATAGTTCCATGGCAGAATTCTTTCCTATTATGTCCTAGGTTTAATCCTTAATGCCATAAAGAAAAAGTTTGCTGGGTGTGGTGGTTTGTAACTGAAGATTCCAACACTTAGGAGGCTTAGGTAGGAAGATCGTTCCAGGGCAGCTTGGGCTACATACCAAGACTCTGCCTTGAATAACTAATTAAAAAATTAAACAATAAAGAAAAGACAAATAGCACTGAGATAACTGCTTAAAACCATACTGAAGATTTCCCATACATTCTAGAGAAGACCAGAAAAGATCATAATGTACCCTGAGGTCTTTTCTATTAGCTCTGTCTTAGAATCTTGTCATAGTTTAATATATCAGCTATAAATTAAGGTTAGCATAACTGGAAAGTTGACAAAAAGCTGATATTTCCATGCTCTGGATTATTAAGACATATGATTAAGCTTTTGTATCAGTTTTCTTACTCCACAATAAAGTACTACAGACTAGGTTCCTTAAACAATAAAACAATATAAATTAATTTTCTCAAAATTCTGGAGACCAGCCAAGATAAGGTATTAAAGGTGTTGCTTCCTTCTTAGGCCTCTTTCTTTGGCATGTACACAGCCATCTTCTTCCTCTGTCTTCAATATGGTCTTCCTTCTGTACCCATCTGTGTCCAGTTTCCTTCTCTTTTGAGGACACAAATCATACTGAATTTGAGCCCACTCCAGTAACATCATTTTAACTTAATTACTCCAAATAAAGTTACATTCTGGAGTACAGAGAGCTAGACACCACCTATCAATTTTGGGGTGGTTCAAGTCCATAATAGCTTTAATATTTATGAAGTACATCAATTTCCCAGAAGGTACGTAATTACAATCATTTAACTTCAAGGAAGAACCGAGAGAATTTAAAATGTAAACCATCAAAAATTGTAATGAATCTGCAGAGGATGAGCTGAACTTTTGTTTACAATGATTAATGGCCTTTTGGGAAGATGAGCAACTGTGAGCAGTGTATTATTCTTAATTATATTTTGACTGAATGATGGATCACTCCTGATGCCCATGTCATTCTTAAGTTTATTTTCAGCCTCACCTCATTCTTAGTTCTTATTACACTGCCAATTGTTAGCTTATCCCTGATCCTTGTACTGGATGGTTGTGTGTGACAACTTGACACAAGCTAGAGTCATCAGAGAGGAAGGAGCCTCAGTGGAGGAAATGCCCCCAACAAGATCCAGCTATAGGACTTTTTCTCAACTAGTGATTGATGGGGGTAGGCCCAGCTCATAGTGGGTGGTGTCATCCCTGGGCTGGTGGTTCTATAAGAAAGCAGGCTGAGCAAGCAATGGGGAGCAAGTCAGTAAGCAGTACTCCTCAATGGCCTCTGCATCAGCTCCTGCCTCCAGGTTCCTGCCCTGTTTGAGTTCTTGTCCTGACTTCCTCTGGTGATAAACAGAGCTGTGGAAATAAAGGGTAAGTCAAATAAACCCTTTCATCCCAAGTTTGCATTTTGGTCATGGTATTTCATCACAGCAGCAGAAACCCTAGCTCAGACAATCCACATTTCAGAGTTAGGGAAGGCAAATTTTTTGCAATCAAGATCTTCAACAGAGATGAGGAAGATCATCTTTATAATATACTTATAAAAACAAAATAAACATATTATCATATTTTAGTATAAAATAAAATAAAACAGTGGTAAGTCTTTAAAAGTATTTTGGAGTTCTGAATCACCAAAGCTGATACGGTATCTAATATTGTGATATGTGTTTCAGACGACCTGAGCTTTAGTCTCTTCTTTTTCACAAGAATCAACATGACTAAGAAAAAATATTTTAGTTCTTTGGATCTCAACTGTTCTATAATACGAATATACAAACTTTGACCATCTACTCACAAGTGGAATCATAGTTCTGGAATATGTCATAATTCTCAGAAGAACCTTTCCATTTCTTTGCAATGTTCGTGCCAGCAATCATCATCAGATGGTAATACTTATATACAACTACTTATATTTATCGTACCAGACACTATGCCAAAGTATTGCTCAGAATATCCACACAAGGTAAGTGTTGTCTCCACTTTACAAAAGAGAAAAGTGGAACCTGGCTTAATTTCCCCGTGGCATGCATATGGTAAGTGGCAAAGTCAACTAATCCCAGGTAGGTGTGACACCAAAGCCTTTCTTAGCTGTTACTGCTATAACTCTCCTAACTTCTAAGGCACTGTTAAGAGAATTTTGAAATTTGAAATTTACCAGGAACTCTGTTAGTTTCCTGAGGTTTTAGGAAACTACATCTGCTTGGTTTACACAACAGAAATGTATTCCATCACAGTTCTGGAGTATACTCTTGCTCAAAACTCTATTACAGAATCCTTCCCTGCTTTTCCCTAGTTCCTTTTGGGTGCAGATAATTTTCAGTGCTTCTTTGAGGCACCACGACCATCCTTCCTCCTGCCATGGCTCTCTATTTGCATATCCAAATTTCCTCTAGAACACAAGTCACCGAGGCTCAGTCTAATCTTGTACGACTTCATCTTGACATGATTACATACATGCCCCCAAATCTTATCACAAATAGGGACACATCCCAATGTTTCAGGTGGCCATGAATTTTTGTGGAAGACTGTTTAACCCAGTATAGGCACCATAAAGCAGACAAAAAAATATAAACCTTTTCTAGTATGTTTGATTATAGTTTCTTTAAATTTTGGAGACAATGAAAAGTCATGTGATTTGGAGGTTTGATTTCCTTCTGACAGTCACGTTACTTATTTTACTCTACTTTGAAAGTTCAGTGTTGTTGGAGACCAGTCACATATTCAGAGTTATTAGGTACCTCAGATAGTCATTAGCTTACTGTCTGTAGCAAGTCTGCTTTGTTAGGTGCTCACATCTCTATTGTTATTCTTAAATGTCAGGATTCCTAACAAAGCAGACTAGCTACAGATATTTATTAGTTCACAGTAGAGCCTTGAGATGTCAAAGTGCTGTTATTTTTTATAGAAATTAAAGTTCAAAGAAGGTGAGGTACTTGATGAAGGTCTCAGAGCTAGCAAATGGCACAGCTAGATCTCCAACCTATACCTTCTGTTTCCTAAATTCCACTCCACCCCAATACAGAATGTACAAACAAAGTCTAACGTCAATGCTTACTGTGTGGATACATTTAAGAATTGTCAGGGAAAAAGAAGTTTGGACTCCTAGAATCAGAAGAGACAATAAAATTACACATTTTTGTATTAGTTGGATACCCAGCACAGTAAGTTATTATTATTATTTGGAACAATGAGGACATTGTTATTATGCTTTTTTGGTAGAATATCCGGCTGATCTTGAAAGTTTGTAATAGAAAATATTTAAATTATTTAGTATTTATACAAGATGATTTTCTGACTTTAAAAACCATACATAAGAATAAATGGCAACTTAAGACTTGCTCTATTGCTGTCATAATAACAGTACATGTTTTTTGACCTTTTAGGATGTGCTCTGTTCACCTTTGTTCTAACTGCTTTATGTGCAATTAAACTGTCTTATAACAGCTTCTCAAATTAGGTAGTATTGTTTCTATTATGTATGCAAATAATAGGATGGGGGTGAAATATTTTATTAGAAAACAAAAAGAGCCAAGCTGTAAATTCAATCTGGCTCTAGCGCCCACACTTTTAAGTACTATTGTCCATTGTCTCCTATTCCTACTGCTCTGTTATCCATGTTAAATGAGCAATAGCAATGCAGAACAGTAACATAGCAGATCTTGAATGGTAGGAAGGGAAATGAATTCTAACAACAAACTCCCATGAAATGAGAATTAAAAGTGACACTATAAATTACACTATATATTCTGGATCTTACTGATAAAATAATGTAAAGCTAATTGTTCATGGAGACTCATGATTAGCTTACACATTTTAAATGCAAAGTGTCTCAGTGTTTTTTTTAAAAGAATGTAGATCAAGCTAAGATAGTAATGATCTGTTGAGAGGAACACAAGAATATATAGGAATTGTGATGGTCAAGGCCTGTGGGATTCTATATATTAAAGAGGAGATGGATTGGGAAGAAAGTCCAGGTAGCTAGGACAATAACATAGAACAAGGGAGAGCTTAGGGGTCACTATGGGAGATAATATGATTAGTTGTGTTCACCTCAATAATATGATTAGTTGTGTTCACCTCACCCTGAATCTTTATAATTTCTAATTGCTATCGTATAGCCAAAAGGGCTACTGAACATATGTTTTGTTCTATTTCTGAATAAGCTTCCTTTTTAAAAAAATCACTCTAAATGTTCTAACGAACCAAGCATATTTTTGGGAAAGTTGCTCAGTATATAGACTTTATATAATTTAGTTTTTGAAAAGGAAAAGGATACATGACACATTCATAACCAACACAGTTCACAACATACACGTACCTTTTTCTGCTGGGCTCAAAACAGTCACTGTGGAGAGAAAAGAGATAGAAGAGAGGGCAGAGAGGGGAGAGAGAGAGAGAGAGAGAGAGAGAGAGAGAGAGAGAGATTAGTAATATTTTAAAATGTGTTATCTAGTTAATTTTTCCACAGCATTGAATTTTGAATAAGTTAATCTATAGTATTTTAGGAAGCCAAACTCCTAAAATGAAGGAGAGAAAGGATGATTAGATTCCATCCTATATTAGCTTCCTTCTCTTAAATATTTAGTAATTAAGAATTCATGAGCTATTGAGATGGTAAAGTGGATAAAGGTGCTTGCTGCCGAGCCTGGCAACCTGGGTTTGGTCCTTAGGACCCATATGGTGAAAGGAAGAGAACTGACTCCCACTCATGCCATGGCATGCATGAGCACAAAGCTTCCAACAGCAATGTAATATTTTTAAAATAACACTCATTTAACATAGAGGTAACCTTTTAGAAGAGCCAGCAAATCAAATAATATAAAGGATAAATGACATTGTGTTATAAACTTAAAAGCTGATAAAGTAGGAAGCTATATCCCAATTAACCCACTGTTTAAAATCTCAGTGAACTGAAAGTGCTGCGCTGGAGATACAGGTCAACTGGTAAAATGTGTGCCTAGCTTCTTTTTGTTCCCCAGCACCACATAAAACTGGGTATGGTGTTGCATGTCTGCAATCTCAGAACTTGGGAGATGGGAGAGGAGGAGTTATGTTAAACATCATCCACAGCTACATATGGAGCTCAAGGGCAGTGTGGGGGAAAAGGGAAAGAAAATTTTAATACATGTAACTTATTGAATCTCATAGCTTAGCCTGCCTGACCCACTGTGCTGGATAGTTTTACGTGAACTTGACATAAGCTAGAGTCATTTGGGAAGAGGGACTCTCCAGTAAGAAAATGCCTCCATAAGATAGGGCAGTAGACAAGCTTGTAGGGCATTTTCTTAATTAGTGATTGACTGGGGAGGGCTCAGGTCATTGTGGGTGGTGCCATCCCTGAGCTGGTAGTCCCACCAATGGGTGCTATAAGAAAGTAGACCAAGCAAATCACGACTCAGTAAGCAGCACTCCTCCATGGCCTCTTTATTAGCTCTTGCCTCCAGGTTCCTGTCCTAACTTCCCTCAGGGATGAATGACAACCTATAAGATAAAACAAACCTTTACATGTGTAAGTTAATTTTTGGTTGTAGTACTTTATCACAGCAATGGAAACCTTAAGTCCGACACCTATCTTATACATCCTTAAAATGCTTAGGTTAACTTACCATTGGGCAAAAGTCACCTAATAAAAATTCTGTTTATACTAAAATGTCAACTAGCTTATACTTCATTGAATACTTGACTGAAAGCAGTAGAGTTGGGGCTAGAATCTAGTCTCCAGAGATTTTGCCACATACTGACTGTATCTAGCGCTTCCAATCATCCCTTGCAGGTTTATCATTAGTTATGTATTGCTCCTGTTTAGAACACTATCATACAAATGGGACCTATCTGTCTTTATCATCACCATCTGTTTGTACTTGTGCTATTGGAAGCAGAACAGTTTTAAACCTTTTTTTTTTTTTTTTTTTTTTTTTTTTTTTGTCAGAACAGTTAAAAGTGAGAGAAATGCGGAGGGGTGGAGTCAAAACAGTGAATGAGAATATATTTTAGGTGCTATTTCTTCAAGCCTTTCATTAGTCATACTTTTCCCTTCCCTTTACACACAAATGTGTGTGTGCTTTTTTTAAAATTATTCTTTGAATGATCATTTGAATGGAGATGTTTTTAAAGGATACATTTGGTCTGTGTTAAAAAAATCTGATAACTTGATTTCTTTTATTTTTTTCTAATACATTGGTTTGTACGGGTATAATATAGAATTCTACTCAACTAAAAAGAAAACTGAAATCATGAATGGTGTAGGCAAATGGATGGGACTGGAAAATATTATCCTGAGTGAGGTAACCCAAGCAGAGAGACAAATACTGCTCTTTTAATTCTTGTTCCTAGTTGTGAGTCCAGATTTGCATATATAACTCGAGTAGCAAAAGGCAAGAAAGCAGAAAAAGACCATGAGAGAGGGGTACTAGAGAAAGGGAGAGCAGAGCAACGGGTACTGTGAAGGGGAGTAGAAGAATGACTCTGGAACTAACTTGGAAGCCTCCTCTTTAACGGCTAGCTCTCAACATATCAGAAGGTACTATACCTAAGGTTTAGGGAGCACTGAAGAGGGGCCAGAAAGATGGTAAGAGCCAGAGGATCAGAGCAATTGCTGTGAGAGAGTGCTTTGCTGACATGACTGAGGTGCTGCACCCATATACTCTCAATATGGTTGCATAGAACCTTCACCAGTTGACATGGAAATGTGGATGGAGGAAAAGTTCACAAGGATGCAGGCAGTCAATAGCTGCTAAAGGAGAATTAGTTTTCTTCAAAGATGAGTCCCCTGACAGATTTTCCAATCCTAAGTGGTCAGTCCTAACACACACACATGTACACTCAGGCAACGCTAATTGGATTCATTATTTGTAGTTGGTTCTTTTTACTGTTGTTCTTTGCTTTTGGGGGGCCCGCCACCCAACTCCCAAATGAAGGTGTATTCTTACCTTTGAATGGCTTTAGCTTGGCTTGTTTCTAGCCAGCTTTTCTTAGATTATTATCCCCTCTACCTTTTGACTGTGGGTTTTTAACTTTCGCTATACTATATACCTTTCTTTCCTTCTTACTGGGTTGCTTGATGTGTAGCTGGGTGGCTGGCCCCTGGTGCCCTCCTCTCCTCTCTTTCTCACTCCTTTCTTTGCTTTCTCCTATTTATCCTCCCTGCCTGCTAGCCCCAACTATTTCTCTCTTCTGCCTAAGTAGTGGCTGTTCAGCTCTTTATTAGACCAATGTGGTGTTTTAGGCAGGCAAAGTAACACAACTTCACAGAGTTAAACAAATGCAACATAAAAGAATGCAACACATCCTTGCATCATTAAACAAATATTCCACAGCATAAATGAATGTACATAGCTCCAGCTAATACTCCACAACAACTTTTTTGTTTTTCTTTCTTTGTGTGTACACAACAGCAATAATAGAAGAGGGCATGAATTGTGGGGAGTGTGGGAAGGGGACACAGGAAGAGCTGGAGGGGCAGGGAGGGGGTGAAAAAGATGTAAATACAGTGTACTCACATGTGAAATTCTCCAAAAAAGTTAAATTTAAAATAAAACAAATTCACAAAACCAGCATATACTCTGAGAATACAAATGAAATGTATACAAGAAGTGTTGGTGGGTCAACCTGGGACTTGATGTTTTTTGTACATTCCAAATGGGCTAATTACATCTCTTTAAAATGGTGTAGGGGTGAGAGATGGCTCATTTGCCAAGAGTGGTTGCTGCTTTTGTTTAGTTCAGAGCACTCATTTTACGTTGCCTACTGCTGCCTATAACACCAGTTCCTGGGGGATTCAACACTTTTTAGCCTACATGGACACATGCACACATATGTGTGTTTGTGTGTTTGTGTGTGTGTGTGTGTGTGTGTGTGTGTGTATGTTGTGCTTTTTTTTCTTTATTTTTTTGTTCATTCTGGTTTGTTAGTAGTTTATTTTCTGGTTTGTTTGCCTGTCTGTTTTCTAAAGAGAAAAAGAGAGTGTGGAGGGGGAGGGATGAGATGCAGGGAATTTCTGGGAGAAATTGGGAGAAAGGAAACTGTGATTCAAGTATACTGTCAGAACAAAATAAAATTTAATAAAAAAGAAACTAGCTTCAGAAAAATGGAATATAAAAATGAATTTAAAAACCTTGTTAATTATTTTATGTGGATAATACGTTGAAATGTAAGCATTTTGATATATTTTACTAAATAGATAATTAAAATTAATTTCACATGTGCTTTTTAGCTTTTGTCCTTCAGAATATTTAAACTTCATGACTATGATTATGTTTGTACATAACAGCCATCACATGGTGTTCATTTTATCTTCTCTCTAATGTATTTGTTGACTAGCCCATCAAGCCCATGTACTCCACTTTTGGAAATTTGACTTCATGTCCAGTTATAAACAATCAGTAAATATGTAAGAGAAATGAGGTAACTCTAGTTCTTTACTTCCCTATGAGTGAGCTGAAATTTGAAGAAACAGCAATTAAAATTAGCTCTCTAACCACATCATTCTATGACTATGTGTGGCAAATTCATCATAGAATTAGCTAACTGTACATTTATCCAAGAGATTACTAGTAAGAGATTCATTTTGGAAAAGTTTCAGATGACTCTTACAGTATTTTCATTTCAATTATGCCTATATTATGTTAGTCTCTTTAATAATGAAAAAGGTGTTTTAAAAATAAAGAAAAATTCAGAACTATGAAAATAAATGTCATGATCTTTTAAATTATGGTATTTTCCCCTAAAAAGTTTATAACTCTCCACTGGAAAATTTGCAAGAAAGAATTTTTTCCTTAAACTGATTTTAAAGAATTTCAGGTGTAAAAATACTTCTAAAACCAAGTTCATTGTCAAACTCATGTCTGAATGCCTTCTCTTCTGCCACATTTTCAAATGTTTGTACTACAGAGCTCACTCCTTCCCTCTGCTGGTGGCCATTGTTTACCTTTCTGCTGTTGCTGCTGCTTGGCCTCACTAACTCTCCTCCTCCTCACTCTCCTCCTCTTCACTCTCCTCCTCTTCACTCTCCTCCTTCTCACTCTCCTTCTCCTCATCAACATCATGAAGACATTCAAAATGTGATTCCTCTTCTTAAAAGGCCTGCAAAAACTGCAAACTTTTCCTTCTAGGTGGACTTCAGAAATTGAAAAAACGGGAAGAGAGGGCTTAGGCATAGTTGTAAACAGCTTAGTTAATGATGACTAAGTGAAACTCCAATACAAAGCCAATCTGCAAAGACTGAGACATTATACTTTAACAAATACAGTTTTTCCTCCAGCATTCATGATTCTCAGCTTAACTGGGTAGAGGGTACAAGGGCACACAGATAAACACTGGGGAAACCAGGAAAGTTAAACATTGTAG